AGCCATAAACCGAGCAGCGGGGAAAGCCGAAAGAATGAATCATATAATATCGGTTACCTCAAGGCATCTAGCCTTCGGTAGAGGTCTACGTGCTTCACACATCCCTACTCACGAGAACTGGCTGGTGGATGGGCTATCGAGGACAACCAACCTGAAGGCAGCACGGCAGTTGATGGAAGGCTCATCTATACAAGAGGTGGATGGTCTGTACTTACTCAAGTCCCTATTCGGGGATGGATCTTAGTCTGAGCTTGTTGTTCGTTTCCGACCTATAAAAGAAAGAACTTGCGTTTTACTCAATCGTGGGAGAAGTATGGTTACATCCGATCAATGTAGAGGTATTGACAATGAATGTCTCTCTCCAACAGTGGATGGCGTCAGAAATCCAACGTAAGAACTCAATAAGAGATGAGTATTTCCGTGGGATTACAAAGAACCTGACCGAGAACGCAATGAGGAACGATCGAAGTAGGGTCGCTCACCCGAGGAAGAGGAGCCGAGTGGACTCTACAGGATCACGATCAATGACTATCACTGACGACGACGTCGTGGGGCTACTGACGAAAGCAAGAGCACCTAAGACCAGCAAACAATACGAATCAATATTGGAAGGATATCGAGAATTCCTGCTGGCGCAGAACTCACCACAAACAGTTTTCCCGCTAGTCCCAGACATGCTAGTGAAGTACGTAGTACACTTGGTGAGGCTGGAGAGGAAGACGAGTACGATTCTAAAGTATATCAGAGTGCTACGTACGTTGAATAAGTCCTGCGGTGCGACTAAGGTTTGGAGCCCATCAGAAGAAGAGATACTGAGGCTGGCTCAGCAAGCGGTGAGGCGAGTCAGAGGCGAAGAAGCACCTAAGCAAGCACTCACTCTGACTTCAGAGCAGCTCAGGAAAGTCGCACTATTGACGCCACAATCAGGGAGGCGGCAGAGCACAGCGGCATTACTTCTCGGCGTCGCCGCGTGCCTGCGACCTAATGAACTCTTCACATTAAGAAGCGGCGACTTCTGCTACTTGGAAGAGCAGAGGATCTTGAAAGTCCACATAAGGGAAGGAAAAACTGACATAGGAAGGATAGGAGCAACCGTCGTAGTTGGATGCTGCTGTAGTAATAGCAGGCCAGGCAATATATCTTACTATTGCCCAGTCCATCGAACATTGGAAGTGCTCGAGAACCCTACAGCAGGGAAGAATGGGTCCTCGATTTTCGGTTGTTCGCAAGGCCAACTCGATGCTGACATAAAAGACTTATTACGCACAGTGACAGGCGATGAGCTACGAGCTACCTCACATGCGATGAGGAGAAGCGCAGTACACATCCTTGCAGACAAAGGCGTTTCGGCCCCTGAAATAGCGGAGCACGGGAGATGGAAGAGAACCCAGTGTGTGGTTGACACCTACCTTCGACAACCGTCGAACTATGCCGACAAGGCGAAGTTGTATTCCTCGTTGATGCTGGAGGGTCATTCGGCAACACCGAACGCTGCTGAACAGCCGGAAATGAAGGCCACGCGAACATGCGTGCATGCAGAGAGCGCGCGCCCATCTGATATATTATTGTCGGAGACGGCCGACTCGCTGGAGGAACTCATCATGGGTGGTGAAGCGACAATTCCGAATCTTCCTTGTGTAAGTGTGGTGGTAGCTTCCGATATGAAGTAACCTCTTTCAGCAACCCTAGCAAGTATATGGCTACCAGTTTAGAAGTGATCCCTTTAACGTATGCCGTGCAAGAGCCTTACTGCTGTGCGAGTGGATAGGATCTCTGACGGAGACAGAATTTTTGCTTTTGTTTCTCTCGCAGCGCCCCGTTCTTGCGTTTTGGACCCCAGTTGGGGAACCCGGGCATTCGATAACGAGGTTCCCGAACGCCGGTTTGGCTATCCACCGATCCCACAAACACGCGACCTCGTACAGCCAGTGCAGAGGTGGTCAGTGACACTGACTCAGTGTCACGGTTTTTAGGTCTAAACGTAACGAGCAGAGCGCTTACTCTGAGACGTTTAGCTCGAAGGCAAGTCTATTGTCGAGATTCACGGGTCGTTACATAAAACCGGTACGAAATCCAAGCCGCAAGAGTCCTCGAGGATCCGTAGTATGGGCTCCATTACGTAATTTATAACGAGCACTTTCAGAGTTTATCCAGTAACTCCAAACGGGTCTAAATCTGAACACTGTACAGAGGAGATTGTGAGATCACGCGTTTGAACAATCGGCGGAACGCCCTGGAGGTCATCAAATAACGGTGCGCGGGATTGGGCGATGCCTTCATACTGATCCCACCAACATTTGGAGAACCGGACAGGTATGTCCGGCTTCCATCTTAGGTGGGCCCTTCGCGCAGCTACGTGGGGGTCACGAGATCAATTGAAGGCATTGGTAGCACCTGATGTGGTCGGACCGTGTGTGGCCCAAACAGTTTGGGTCATTACGGTTGAAAATACCGACGGGCCGACCAATCACGGTGCTACCTCCCGCAACCCCGTATTCGATGGGATTTCATGGTGAGCGGAAGGACAACAGTCCTGTAGTGTGAGTGAAATGTCGCGCAAGGAGGGGTGCACCCTTGAAAGACATATGACACAAGTGAAGTGCGCGCGCCCGTAAACGGTTTTTGAGTGTTGCAAAGCGGGAACCGAAGGTGAAACAAACCTTGAGTTGGACCATACAGGTCTACAACGTGGATTGAGTACGGCTGTGAGGCCGAGCTCAACCACGAGAGTCGAGGGGTTCCTCGACGGGCCAGAAAATTTTTTTTTTTTTTTATTCCCTTGAATATGGCGATGCCTTCATACTGATCCCACCAACATTTGGAGAACCGGACAGGTATGTCCGGCTTCCATCTTAGGTGGGCCCTTCGCGCAGCTACGTGGGGGTCACGAGATCAATTGAAGGCATTGGTAGCACCTGATGTGGTCGGACCGTGTGTGGCCCAAACAGTTTGGGTCATTACGGTTGAAAATACCGACGGGCCGACCAATCACGGTGCTACCTCCCGCAACCCCGTATTCGATGGGATTTCAGTCTGTCGTTACCATCGTAATGATGAGCATCCCGAAGTCCGCGCTAGCAAGGCTCACAGCCGTCGTTCCACCACCTCCAAGGCTACGCGACAGAGTAACATCTTCGACTATGAGGTACTTTACCTTCTGTTCTTGTCAGGACATGGTAAGCGATCATCGTTGGACAATCCTGGGTCGCGCTATCAGCTGAAATCCGAGCGAGTTGAGCGTCAACTGAGTTCCGCTCAGATGATGCCGAAACTACGAAGGGGTGGCGCTGGTGGACTTTTATGAGCTCTTCGTCCTCTGCAACCGGATGAGGCGGTTCGTGCTACGATATTCCATAGTTCTGAGGGTAGCCATCGTGCCAGTGATTTTGCCATACACAGATGGCAGTAGGATTCACAATTGTATCGTCGTTTTCCTACGTGTTTGCGTGAATCCTACTATTTTTTGTCCTAATGTTTGCGTGAATCCATCATCTGCTATGCATTCTCTACCTGGCCCAGATGTCACCTTAACAATACTATTTCACAGTCTTAGATTGACTGAGGTAGAGTCATGTAGCTTCTTTCGTTGTCATTCAAATACCATTACTCATCCCGCTGGTGAAAATGAGAGTCGTGTGAGATCTGTTAAGTGAGTTCCATTGTTTACACATCAACTGTGCACTCGAGGGTACTCGTGACGTCGGAGAGTACTACCTCGAACTTGGTTTCGAACCTCAGGCTAGGGTACACAAATGAGCTTGTGGCACAGTTTAGCTCAATTTCGATTGCTGAGCCGACTAGTGAGGCTTTCCAGATCGGCATTTATCTATCGTGTCTTTGTTTTCTCTATTCATAGAATCGTTTAATCAAACCTCAATGCGATTACGTTCGATCCTAAGTTGGCCCTTGTTTTTCCTCGCACTTCTCTACCGATTCCGGATGAACGATATATGCCTTGAATTTGAGTAAGTGGCAGAGTGAATTCGAATTCCCCAAAAGGCGGGGCTCGATTCCCATCGAAAGAGGCATTGATAACGTCTCGTAATTGAATTACGGTGACTAAATTAACAACCAAAATATGAACTGGCATGTTTTCAGAATACTCACCTATGTCATTAAAACTTTGGGCAATTCTCAGAAAACAATCGGTGAGAAGTTGAGGTTCATGTTGGGTCCAGCCTCATTACAGTGTAGGGCCAATACCAGGGCGTAAGATGTAAGAAATTCTTAACACGATTTAGGCCCAGGGAATGGACCGACCTTTTTTGTGGGTGTAATGATCAGAAAGGTTCTCACTATGCGAGAATCTTGCGGCAAGATTCTTGCGTATCTTGCGGGAAGATACATCCACTCCGACTAGCCAGACACACTTCTATTACTAATAGTACAACAAAAGAGTCACATGACCGGCCGTCGCATATTGCGCCTTGATCCGGAGGAATATCTGAATGCGCTCCTGAGTGACACTAGCTTGGCGCTGACACTGTTTGGACACGCCCTATCTCACGACTAGGAAGTAGGCCCAATAGGCCTAGATATTGTATCTGAATTCTAGAGGAAACCTGTCGAATCATCCCTGGACAAGCCTTATCCGATAAGGCCCATATTTGAACGTGCGTTGCTCCAGTGAGCCTCCTCGGGCACTTTCGGTAACGGTAGGTCAGCTATCGGCGACAAGTGGTCATCCTATCTGTCCAATCACCTCGCGATTGTGACTCACGGTCTCTGAACTGATGCCTCATAAAGTTCGTCCATCATTTGAATTTGGTTATAGAGAGGCTCGTTATGGATGTTTTCTCGTAATTGGTCGGATCACACGTTCTTAGAATGGCCGAGGCTCTTTCGGTAATATTGTGGCCCATAATCAGGTACAAGCATCGGGCACGACAGCTGTTGTGCTAATCCGTAACCATATACTTGATCCAAACGCATTCTGGAGTGCTCATTGTGGAGACTCTCGCTTGGACCAAGCGGCTTGATCGGTTGAGGTCCTCAACTTGAGGACCACCCGTTCCTCTTAGCAACAGTGCTGTCCCCACTGGGGACTCCCCATGACAGTGTGGCGCATTTGTCCTGTGAGTGGGTGTCTCCTGCATCACAGTGAGAACCATACTAATTAGAACACCCATAACTTATGGCCCATAGGATAAGGGACCTGTCATAGGTCTGTCTATTGCCTTCGTTGCAGATTGGAATTGGCTGATCTAGTGATCCTGCCGGAGCAGGCGGAATTGGCGGATGAAGCACCGTGCCTAACTAGAAACTTTTTAGTAGAAAGGCCGTCAAGAGGGACAGTAGTCGTCCGTCGTCATCCAGCAGGACTGACTGCAAGCAGGACGCGGTGAGAGCAGTCGACATCAGTTAACAACAAGATCATGCCATTGTTGTCGTCAGTCATTACCATCCGTCTCGCATGCTTTTTTGCAATGACTACATCCTCAGCGGGGGGATTCCCCGGCGACGTTACAAATCAAGCAATTGAGCAAATGAATCGCTTATCACTAGACTCTAGTCATAAGCCGATGGACGACGGTTTACTTTTACGGAGATGCAGTCCCTGTTACGGTGGGTTACTGTGACTCTGTGGCTCCCGGCGACCATGCGAAGGGTTCTAGAACCGTTTGCCTGGCTGAGGGCAAGCCAGTTAAGAGAGCAATCAAAGCTCACCAGGCATAACTTACGTATATCGACCATTAGATGAAGTTCATGCATATGGACACTGTCAGTTACTCCCAAAAGTCAGGAGTTCAAAGAAGGTATGAGATCTACGAACGACACGGTGGACGATGCGAAGACGAGCTCTCCATGGATGCAGAGAAAAATCGAAATGTTACACGAATCGTGTAACACGACTCAGAATGCGCAAGAATCGCTCACGATTGTTGAAGGCCAATCAGGCTTCGTCAGCTGTTATCACCCGAGCAGTACTGGATTACATAAATCTGCTACTGAAGGCTCGGCCAGTTGAAGAACGAGTCAACCAGCGGGAAGACCTTGTCACACATTACGCCCTCGTGGGAGGCTATACGCGTGACGTGTCCCACTAATGCTGCATTAGATGGTCTGAATGCATTAGTAGTGCATTTAGACCATCTTGCTGAATACACCCCGACATAGCTGAAAGAGAGCCGACGGTCAGAACTTAAGCTGTTGAGCAGTCTGCGGCAGACTGTCTGCCCCACCTTCGGAGCTCGGAGCGGTGCTCCAGGAACCCATGAACCCCAAGGCCGGAGCAGCGTCCAGTGAAGACGATTCCGGAGAAGATGATTTTGTTCTTGTTTGGTATAGCGCTAACGAGAGCCCATATCGGGTTGGAAAATTAATATCTCGGAAGTCCGGCCATAGCTACCTGATCCAAACTAATTGTATCATACAATTTGTATGTGTACAGAGTGCTTAGCCAAGGATTGTTATCCCTTGTGTCCAAGTTTATTACCCGAAAGGAGGGGCGCAACCTGCACTTCAAGGCTCTGAGTGCCGATGACCGTATCTGTGTGGGAGTGTCCGAGGGACACTGCCGCTCTGCGCGTAATCTGCGCCGCAGAACAGACAGCGAAGCTTGTGTGTCACCGTAGCAGAGACGCAGCGCAGCGGCTGAGCCGTCTCCTCCTGTAGTAGTGGGCTTATCTTGCCGTCGGCAAGTAGCCGGAGAAATAGTTCATATGGAGGAGGACTCTCCCACG